CCCTCCCCCCCCCCCTCAAGCTCCCCCCTTGGCTACGGGCCTGGTTGGATTAATTAATTCAATTCAGACCAATGAAATGTTGTACAGATTGTGTAATTATATCCTTCCTTGAATTTATAAATGCCTTTTCGGTAATGAAGATGGTTTGTTTTATCCTAGCCCCTGTCTAATACATACATAATATAGATAATTATCTTATATTGCCAAATACAATGTTTTAAATATTGCGAAAGCGGACTATTGCTTGAAAGAGGACATGTGTGAACAGGTCCAAAGTTTGTTTCGACGAGTTCACCGGAAACTCAAAATTTCGGCAGATGAAGAAATCGCGTTATGTAACATCCGGAATGCAACGTTAGCTTTGGAATGTTCTCATCAACTATTGGTTGTACAATGGAGTATTTCGTAAGCCATCTATTAACTATCATTCATCGTATCCTATAGCATTTCATCAACTCTATAATTTCATTCACACCCCCAATCATATCTTATAAAAAGCTATTGACTCATTTCGCTCTAATTCAATAATCACGTGACTTATACCCTTCACAAAAGCAGACGACAGCCCCATTTTGATCTCATGTCGCGTGCTTATATTCTACAAACCAAACGTAAAACTTCGAGAAAAGTATAATATAAGTTTTCTCACGATCTTTTTTTAACCGAAAGAAAAGTTACGAGTATAAAAAAGTTGGATTTTAACTGAAACGGAGTTGAAGTAACGTGAATAAGTCTAACTCGGATCAAGTAAACGCAAAATGTGTTTTAGTTCTTTTCAATATATATTATCATTATTTGTGTTTATGTGTGTAATTTTTGGAGCAAATTCATGTTTTATCAGAAATTGCCCGACGGGAGGAAAGCGGGCAATTGAAGCAAGTGAGATCGGTCACAAGGTAAGATCAAAGGCTTTTTTTTATCCCCGTGTTCTTGTACCCTGAAGTATAAACTTGTATAAACGGCCAGTCGTAATCGGCACGACCTGTCTATAAACAACCGCCAAAAATCCCCCCATACAAAAATATACATATTTTATTTTATATTCACTTCGGCTTTTTATAAACATAAAGTGTTTTTTTTTAACCCACTTCGGCTTTTCATTGAACGAATACTGGGCCGATAAGGTTAAGATTAATATTTATTCGTTCAATATGTATATATAAACGTTTATTTTGTTCTGGTCGCAAGGGATTATGTCAGATCTTTCTTGTAAGGCTGCGTACAACCGGTACGGCACCTAATCATAATACTGTCATTTAGTACTGGTGTATTTACAAGATTCAATTCAAATTTTTATCGTTCGTCGTGGTTTTCATATCTTTCAAAGGCATGAGAATGAAAGGGCCTTTTACGTTTACGTCTGCTAGTAATTGGGCTAGTGGGGACGTTTCAGAACCTAGAAGCACGAGAAAACTAAAACGTAGCCGAAACGTTGAGGCATCGTAAACCGCAAACGGACTGAAACATTATCGTATAACTTTTACTTTGATGTATCGGATTGAAACGTTACTGACAGCGTCATTGGTCTTAAGCTAACCGTATCGTTTTCGGCAATTACTGTTATTACAGTTTTTAAAATAACGTTACATCATAATTTCACGAGCATCATCGTATTTACCACGTTAGTGTATCATGTGGATCATACGATTTTTAAACTGAACAGAAAATAGGCCTTAAAACTAAAAAATCTCTGCCTTATTCAATTTCATATCTATAAGCTTATTCAGTATCTTAAAGAACCCAAACGCGAGTCCTACGAAACCATAGAATACACAATACTGTAATCATATTCTTATCAACATTGACAATGTAATTGTAATACAACTCAGAGATAAACAAAGGATTGTACACATATCTTCAAATTGATGAAGTTATAATATTCGCTGTCGAATTTTTTTTTTGCTGCAGTTTTGATATCCTTTTTTAGAATTTCTTCGGAAAAATTAAAATTTCAGTTCTTTTAAATAAGATATAATGGTAATATCATTATTATATTTCTGGATTTAAGAAAATGTGAATAAAATAAAAAATTTCTTCAGATCGTACTTGGCAAGTGGTTTATCCCACAGAGAAAAATACGGTCCGACGAAACATCAGGATTTGTATTTTAAATCATAATGTGATTTGGATTAACGTCTGAAAGCCAAACGTCTGTTCATTTTTAAGCCTATTAGTTATAAATCCAGGTTTTTTCCGATTTCAACTACACTGTGGTGTAATAGGTTATATACACAGTTTCGACAGTGGCCGCGCCAAAATAGGAATACAAATAGGGGACAGATTGATCCAATGGGGGACAACTGTCGCGGCTGAATTTGACGCATATTTTGGGGCAAAAACGTATAAAAATCCTATTTTCAAATTTGTTAAAGCTATAGTGGGGTACAATTGGTGGTGCACATGCCCTGAATATCGGGCATGCTGCCATCTTTCAAAAATCCTTACGCCCTGTGTGATCTTATTCTGCGTCATTTTGTGGGAAACCTTTTTTCCTGCTATTCATTATTGTATTTATATACTTCTTTTTTGCAAATTGATTGCTTTGTCTTTAAAAAAATCTGGTCCTTGATGTATTCAACAATAGGTCTTCCTTTAAAGGGATCGTAAAAAGGTTTTTCTAATTTTGAATTGAAATTTCGCGACCAGTTACCCCGATACACATAAAATTTTTAGAAAACCTCTTTACAATTTCAGTATTTGACAAGTTGTCTGTCTCATAGTGGAATTTAAAAAAGACGGTTCAATATTAAATAAAGTTACTGACTGATTTTTAATGTTAATTTCATCATTTTAAAATCTTGAAATTATCAATTTTTAGTTTGATTCTTTATTTCGCCACGGCATACCTTTCTCAAACCTATTGGAACCAGCTTTTTGGAAAGATTTCAAGAATTTCTGAAAGATTTTGAACGTTCTGAAATAGTTTTAGCATCCTTTTTGTTTGTTGGTTTAATCCTTGCTAATTTTGAATTTTGAATTTAACGAAGATTCAAGAAAATAGTAACGTTTGGAATTTCAGGAGGACCACATTACAGTGAATATTTTTTTTTTAATAAACACCAATTCTAATCCAGGCGATTCTAAAACCTTCTATACGTTGAGAGACACCCAAGTTTTCTGTCGCATGGATTACAATTTTTTTTATTAGAATAAATTAATTTTCGCCATGAAACTATGTGGTCAAAATTCGACTAAACACATTTTAAGGAGAATTTTCAGATCACACATGGCGAAAAACATCAATCAAAACAATTTCATCTCCGCTTTTTCCTAATAACTGTATTTAACATACCTTTAAGACCTGTTTCATTCTTTAAAACATTTGACACAAGATCACCATGATCTAATGTTAAAAATCGCCTTTCATAAAATTGAATCCGTGTAATTGAAGATTATAATGATAGGTAACGTATAATATTTCCGGTTTGTTTACAAGGAAATAATTATGGTTCACTAACCCACTTTCAAATAGGGCATTATTATGTACATATACGTTTTAGGGATTATTAGTTATTTTACAGTACACGTATGTATAGTTCATAGGCAAATGGGACATAGTGTCCCCTCCCCCCACGGCACCCCTACAAATATTCCTTCTTTTGAAAATATGACCGATGTCTTACTGCCAACCTAATAAACTGATTGACAAGCAGATCTATATCAGATATATACCTGTTATATCGACAGGTTACTACACTAACTTGTCATCTTTGATCTGACAAAATCTCCTTCAAATCGCGTTCAATTTTGAGCAATGTAATCAAAAGTTGAAATTACACTTACCAATTAAAAAAAACTCTGAGAAACCCGGGGGATGATAAATAAATGTCAATGTTTAATGCAAAAAGCCAAAATGACTTTTAAAAAAAATGCGATTTAGATTGTCCAATACAATTAGATTGCAATGAAAACAGTTTTTGCACGAAAAAAAATAGGGAAGAAACAAAATTAGGCAGATGTTTTAGTTAGATCATTGTATCATGTACTAATTTTTATAATTGCCTTTTCCGTATTGGTTGACGAAATGCTAGGAAAGGTCACCCTGTATTGTACTCTTGCTTTATTTAGTTATTATGCATTTGACTTAAGTATTCGCGATGAGCAATTGTCGATTTCGACGTGTAAATAATAACCACACCTTACAGAATTCGTGTAGGAGTATTTCGGATTATGATGACTTGGTCTGTTCCCTTATCAAAAGAATATTTGTTGACTTAAGGCTCACATCTACATATTAATACACAATCTACACCCTCTAGGTCTCTATAATATAGGCCACTGGGATACATACATTCACAAATATATACTCATAATTACTTGTCAATAACATATTTTCATCCAGGTTACACGGAGTATTACATCTAACCATATGGAACTTATCTATTAATAAGTAAACGTTCAGCACCTTATTGAAGTAAAATCTATTTCTTATTTAAGGTTCATGACCTTTGCTTGTGGCAAATACATTCACAAATGAACAGAATTACTTGATGCCAATAAAATATTTTCATGTAGGTAACATGGAGTTTTACGTCTTACCATATTGGGCCATTACCCGAAAAAGGATTACATACCCTTCAGCATGTTATCGGCCATCTCCACAATTTCGTTTGGATTGGATTGTACGTCAGCGAACGCAGCCAATCATGACTCTCGACAGTAAACATTGTGGCTTATTGGTTACGTGCTATCTATTAAAAGTTCGCCAAAAAAGACAATTTCGTCAATCAAAAATCACGTATAGAGACTGGCAAAATCGAGAGTAAAAGTTGAAAAGTAGTAAACCTCTCAAAAGAGAAGTACCATCAGGTGTTTCGAAAAGAGTAAGCATGGTCTGCTTTCCTCTCAAATGTTGCATCTTCACAATGTCAGGTTATTACGAACTTCCTCCTAGTACTTGACATTGTGAAGACGAAGTTCTTAACAGATTGACATTGAGAAGACGTCTATACGTTGTTGAAATGAATACAAGTAGCACTCAGAAATAATCTCTTCCTAAATTTTTATCATTGAGGTTTTACTATACAGGTAACCTCTATGAACTAAAAAAATAAACATTGTATTGAAAACGATTGAAGCAAGCAATGTTATTTTATTTTCATTCACTCAATATCCTTCATACAACTGTAAACTATTCATCAAATTTATCAAAAATCTTCAGGTCAAATTTTTATGTAAGTGTAAGAATTTACCTGTGATAGGCTTAAAATACATGATAATAAAAGTTGGGCCTGGTCTTGTTTTCCAACTTTGTATAAAGCACCTGTTAATATCTATAAGCTATGTATAATACATGATTATGTATACAGAATCACACAATGAAGACGAAATCAATTCAATATAAAGCGATCATATCTATATTGTGGCTATGTAACTCATTTGAATCACTTTTTTTGAAATGAAATGAAATAAATGGAGTTTTACGTCCTACTTTTAGTTTGAACAGTTTTTATTACAATTTGTAAAAGGATTTGGTAAAAGTTACAAAAACTTACAAAAAGTACCATCTCCATAGTTCCATACAATATCATAGGTAATTAACAAAAGCTCAAATTTCTTGCACTACTTTTCTGCACTACTTTTCTGCACCATGTGGGTTAATGAAGACGGGCAATGCCATGCAGGGTACAATGACGGGAAATTTTCCCAGGACAGCGGCATTGCCCTGCTCTTTTTCTATTTCCAACTGTCGAGGGATCTTTAACGTGCACACGGGTTCGGTTTTTTGTCCCATCCGAACGACTAGACTTTCCATGTCAGTCCCTCTTACCTGCATCACTAACAGGGGAAAACTGGGTTGAAAAATCCAAAATCAATTTTGAAGTAAAACCTTTAATATCAGGTTAAGAGTATATTTTATAAGATGCATATTGGTATGAAGTGCTCCGTGCTTTGG